GCCGCGCCCGCCGCGCCGGGGCCGTCCCGCCGCCCTACCCCAACGGCTGGTACCGCGTGCTCGACTCCCCGCAGCTGCCCCGCGGCGCCGTGCGCGGCATCGCGCTGCTCGGTGAGTGCTCCCGCCTCCCCGCCCGCCACCGCCACCGGCGGCACCTTGCCTCGGGCTCCTGCATGGCACATCCTGGCCCGGCGTCTCTGCCGGGCATTGGTGGTGCCGCCACTCAAGCTCCTTGCCAGGATATCAGGGCATCTCTGCCCAAGCGCCTTGCCGGGATACCAGGGCACCCCCCAAACAAGGCACCTGGGAATTCCTGCTGGAGTACCAGGGCATCCTTGCCCAGGATCCCTGCTGGAGTACCAGGGCATCCCTGCTTCGTTTCCCCACACAAGACACCTGGGCATCCTGGCCCAGGCTCCCTCAGGGGCCTCCCGCCCAGGGATTATCCCTGCAATAAGGGATATCTCTGTCCAGGTTCTCCGCTGCTCTGCAGAGCGTCTCCCTGCCTGGTACCCCACTGTCCTGCTCCCCTGATGCTGGGGGCTCAGGCTGCTTTTGGAGGAGTGCTGGGCTCCTGCAGGGTCCTGCAGTGCTGGAGATGGGGTTGGGCTCCTGTAAGTGCCTTACACCTCAGCAGGGTTGTTTCTGGGTTAAAATCCCTCTGATTCCATGGTAACCTCTCACTACGAAGGAGGGGTTTGCAGAGCCTTTCCCTCCTGTCCAGCTTTTTCTCCATATAATGGTAACTATTTGACTGTCCTGACTGGAACTAGTTTGTGGTAAAAATACAATTTTAAGTTCTATTTATTTAAAATAACTCTGATTTTTTTTCCCTTATAATCACTTCATTTGTCTATTGTTTTCATTTTTTAAATAACTGGCATGGTAAATTCCTGGGGGCAGGAGGAAGGGATGGCTGGGAAGAATGGGAGGCCAAAAAGGTGGTGCTCACAATTTAATGGGATGAATTTCCCAGCTTTAACATCCTTGGTGAAGGGATGCAAGCACGGAAAAGTGCTTCCCTGGCAGGTGTGGCAGTGATGCAAGCACAGACAGGCTGGCAAGGAGATTTAGCACTTTTTCTCAGATGCCTCCACTTGCCTGTGCACCAGGGTTTCTTTTCGTGCAAAATGCAGCAGGGCCAAGGGAGGGATGGGGTGTCCTGCCCAGCTGTGCACTGGTGTGGAAGGGGAACACAACTGGCCTGGAGAACTCAGAAGAACATTAGCATCTGTTAATACAAATATATCTGTCCATCCTCCTTTAACACAGGAACTTTGCAAATCTTTTAAAAAATGTGTCCAACACCTGTTACGTCCTAGATGAAACAGATTCCAAGAGCTCTAAGACCTTAGGGGTAGGACCACAACGTTTTAGGGGTGAATGGGCAAAATTGTGCTGCCCGCGGCCCGGAGAAGGGCACAGGTCTCAGCACAGATGAGTTTCTGCTCTCAGCAGCCTCCGTGGGGAGCAGCTCTGTGGTGCCAACACGCTGCAAAACATGTGGCACCAAGAGCCCGTGGCACGAGGGGGCTCTGCAACGGGCTGCGTTTGAAGCGAGGGCTGTGATCAGTGGCCACCAAATCCAAAGTGTTTACTGCAGCGTCTGCCACATCCCAGTGGGGACCCTATTTGCAGGTAGCAAATGCTTCCTGCCTCCAAATTGCTGGACAGGGAATCCCGTCTGGGAATGTGTCCCCAGAGCGCAGGCCAACTCTTTCCCACACCACTGGCACTTGCAGGCGGGCGCCGGCAGCAGCCTGGTGCCATCTCGTGGCTGCATGACTGCTCCGGAAGAATCCTAGTTCTGTCTGGAAGCTGCTCTTTCTCTAGAAACCTCCAGAAATATTTGTTAACAGTGCGTTTCCCCCCAGATCCAGGTTCCAGGATGCTTCTGGTTATCTTGGCACAGGCAGGTGCCTGCAGAGCAGTAAGGTTCTGAGCAATGTGCCTTACCTGACTCCTCCAGGTGGGATGTTCTCTTCAGAGATGGCCCAATAACCCGGTGTTTCTGCCTCCAGGAGAACAGCTGGCTGCATTCCGCACCCAGGATGGACGGGCCTACGTGGTGGACGCTTACTGCCCTCACCTTGGGGCTAACCTTGCCATGGGTGGTCGTGTCACCGGCAACTGCATCGAATGCCCGTTTCACGGGTGGCAGTTTCGAGGCGAGGATGGAAAATGCACCAGCATCCCGTACGCTGAGAAAGGTGAACCCTCCGCGAACCCGCAGAACACATCTACACTAACGGCCCCGTGCCCGGTGTGTCCTCACAAAACAAAGCCACTCTGCTAAGGAAAGGCAGGGTTTTTAGTAACTTGCCCTCCGTACTCTTCCCCCATGTCATGCACTGCCCTAATTCTGCTCCGGAGTTGTCTGGGTCCTTGTTTAATTACCAGTGCTTTCGCGTGGGAGATGATAATCGGGACTTTAATCTGGTTAAATAACTAACCTTTCCAATGTGATAGTGCTGCATTTGCTGTATTTAGCAAGAAATGTACCACCAAAAGAACATTTTTAACTCTGAAAATCTCACCCTGAGCCATGAAAACAAAAAGCACCTGAGCGATGAGTGCCAAGGAGCTACCGGGGGTCAGAATTTCCTTGGTGCTCCGCAGTAATCGCCCGTACCACGTCAGTGCTTGGGAGAACAATGTCTGAATGGCAATTTTCTCTCTGTGTCAGATTTAAAGAGATGTGTTAGTTAGAATCTAGGAAAACCCTTCAAATGCACCTACCTTTTGGATGCATTCTGCGTTGTGTAGGGAGAACGTCTGACATGAAGTTCATATGTAGCAATCAATTTATCTGTTTTCCGTAATCACTTTAATAATTTCCATAATCAATTTAAAGCACCGATTTTAAATGCAACTAGAATCAACAAGCAAGTTTAAAACACTTTGAATTTTGCTTTGGCTTGGGTCTCTTAAATATTTTCCTAAGGAAGTTCAGCATTCCCTGCAGGGGAGAGCAATGACAATACCAGTTAGTAGCAGAACTCAGCATTTCTGTCAAACAGACCATTTTTCTCAAAGGTGAAGAAATGTTTTGTCCATATGTGATAAAATAAGCAATTTTTAGATCTCACCAAGCAATGATTCCTACTTTTTATTTTGTCAAAAAAAAAACCCCTCAAACCCTAAATATTTTAATTCCTTTCCTGTCTCTATTCACTGGAATTTGACTCCAAGTATTGAGCGGAGAGTTTTTCATTATGAAATGACAAAGAATATTCCAGCCATAGGCAACCGCTTGCCACAATGCAGTGTTCGGCTTGGATTTGCTTTATTAAAAGCGCTGTTATGTGCTGTTATTAAGTGTGCAAACCTGCAGACAGCTCCCAAATGGGTCAGGTTGTTCAGACAGATTAACCAGCCACCTGTGTTCCCCTGGGTCCCTTTGAGAGGGGCTACGGGGAGCACAGGGGTCCCGCGGGCTACCCTGGCCCCCAGGGCTACCTGCCCGGGTGCCGACCGGCTCCTCCGCTGGCAGCTGCAGATCGGGGCAGAGCCCGTGCTCCAAATCCCACCCCGTGCTCCAAAATCCCAGCCCATGCTCCATACCCCGGCCGATGCTCCAATATCCCAGCCCATGCTCCAAATCCCAGCCCGGGCTCCAAAATTCCAGACCAGCGGAGGCAGTTCCCAGGTTCCAGCAGCCTCCAGCCAGGCTCAAGAGTCACAGAGCACTAGATGTTGGCCGGCAAAGGAAATCTGCTTTGAAAGAGGTGGCCCCTACACCACCATGATCGCCAGATCTTCAATCAGCAGCAGCGATGCTCCCCTCCCGCCTTGCCCAGCATTCACAGAAGGGAAAAGAAGCATAAGTGACCCCGTTATTTCACCTCCCAAGAGATTTTATAATTCTGAGTAATAAGGAAGTGTAAGTCTCTCTGCCCTTGCTTGCAAACTGAAGGAAAGGGATTAAGGCAAGGTAGTTCCATGCAGTAAGAAGCCAGATGTTCTGACATTTTAGTAAATGTAAATATGAATATACATTTAATTGGAAAAGCTGCAGATACAGCAGCTGATATTATAACAGAGAATGACTTGAAGTGAGGAGTTAAGGCAGCTTTTACTTAAATATACCTATAACTAAAACTATAACTTTTAAGTTATTGAAGCTTGAGGAGGGTTCATTGAAGTAGCATGAGTCTACTTATTTGAATGGTTTTAAGAGCAGTAAAAGTAGCCTGAAGAGTAAATAGCTGTACTTTCAGCTTATTCCTTAGAAGATTTATTTAAACTGAAATAAAATAAATAAATTGAAACAAAACTGATGCAAGCAAACACCCTCCTACAAGTCTCAGGGTTGTCTGCTGCGGCTCAGTACGCTGGACGGCTACGAACTGCCCCCGGGAGCCTGTGTCACATTAACGTCCCCCATGCAGAGGAGCTCTTGGTTGCGCTTCAGGACAAGGGGGCATTTAACAACGTCAGCCTGGGAAGCACCTTTGACCCGAGCAATTTCCTTTGCAGTGCCGGATTTTGCGAAGCTTCGGACCTGGCCCTCCTGCGAAGTGAACGGGATGCTGCTGCTCTGGTACCACCGCGACGGGCTCGGCCCCACGTGGGCCGTCCCCGAGCAGCGCGAGATCGCCACGAAGGAGTGGGTGTTTCGGGGGCAAACGGAGCATTTCATCGAAGCGCACATCCAGGTAGGGGCGCCTGGCGGGGCCTCGTCTCCCCGTGGGGCACTTGGGCACGGAGAAACCACGTCCCGAGGAGGCGGCCAGGGGCTCAATGGTGGTTCATGGTTTAGGGCAACTTGCACCTCTTGCCTTTTCAGTCTTAAAAGCAGCTTCCAAGGTTCAGCAGAGAGCAGCTGGAGGCACCATGTAGACACGGGGCCATGTTCGTGTCTGGTGTTGTCTTGAATAGCCCAGTTCAGGCACAACTCTAGCAGGTAACCGGCGCTCTTGCACTGTCACGAGGCAGGCCCGGCTCTGCCAGCAGAGTTTAGAGCTAGAATTATGTCACTGTGATATATACAGAAAAGTCACCATATGTTCTCCAGGCGCAGAACTTGTACTTCTAGAAGAAAGAACAGATGTCCTGTGTATTTAAATGAATTGGTTAATTTGCTTTAACTTATAAATGTTTTCATTCAACCAAAAAAAAAAAAAAAAATCTTAGAGAATTGCAGCCAGGAGTCTTTTCAATCGAATAATAAGAGTGGAAGATCATGGTTATTTTGCTGTTAATTTTCATAATCATTGTTATATGCTGGCAAATGTGCCACGTAGAGCTACCCTTCTTCAAAACGCTTGTCGCTTCCATTGGCTGTCAGTGAAAATGCGGAAATGTGGAAAGGTTTTCTGCTGTCTACTTACTAAACTGCTGTAAGGTAAGTGGATTAAAAAGAAATAATACTGTACAAGAGACATAGCAGATACGACTTTGGGAGCAGACATACAAGAAACAGGGAGAACAGGAGAGACTGATGGGATGTTAGCAAAAATTCTTTCAGGTCTGCTTTTTAGTGCAAACTGCCGTGCACAGCAGGGCTTCCAATCTGGGGCCATTTTGGGCTACTTGTCAAGGTGGTAAAAGCCTGGTGTATCTGAGTAAGAAAAGCAGATAAAATTTCTTAAAAAGTGATATAGTGGAGGCAGGCTGGAGTGGTTGAAAGGATCCAACTGGTATAAAAATCCCATCTGTAATGACCCATTTGAGTACCCTACTTCTGCAGCTGCAACTCGCTAGATTTCTCTGAGCTTACAATCCACTCTGAATTTTCTGGGTTACAGGTTTAAATTATTCCCATACACTACTTAAAAATCGTTCTCAGACCAATGTGTGCCAAGCACCCCCTTGCTCACTCCCTTCCCTGCCTCATCCTCTTGCTGTATCTTGTACCCGAGAGCATCTCTGCTGCGGCTGAAGCCACGTGCCCTGATCTGTCCCGCAGCGAGACTTTGTCTGATGCTGTTAGTAAATATGTCTGAGGATGCAGGTAGCTCGTATCCAAGTCAGCCATCAGAACTAACTGCATATTGTTCCCCAATGGCAGGAAATCCCAGAGAACGCAGCTGACACGGCTCATCTCACTTTTCTCCATGGACCGGCTATTCTGAGTGGAACTGATTTGAGATACACAAGGTCCAAGCTGTGGGATTTTATGAAGCATATCTGGAAGGTAAAAGAATTACTATGAACCCCTACTAACCCATTAGCTGGAAGTCTCCTGCGCCAGGTCCCCTTTCTGCTTCAGAGTTTTCCACGAGTCTTGACTTCACACCTCTGTCGCAGCTCCTAGTTTGTAGAACAAGCCTCTTCCTCCTGTCTGTGAGACTTTTACCCACACCCTCCTCTGTGCTTGTCCCTACACCATCTTCATAGCCACCCTCTTCTTTTGCCACACTCCTTGCTTGTGGTTGCAAAGTTCACACTGCCTTCATTTGTCCTCTTGTTGTCTTGGGACTGAATAATTTCTCCATCCCTTCAGGCAGAGTGGCAGCCAGAGCCGGAGCCCAACAAGCACTGCTCCCAGTTGCTGCTTAAACACCATGCCACTGTGTTTGGGAGACACTTCTCCTTGCTGGATTTGACTGTTTCAGCCAGGCAGGTAGGTAACATGGTCCATCAACCACCTTGTGTAGGTACAAGGGAAAGTAGGTGGGTCAGTGATCCATAGATGTGGGTACCTGACCTCAGCTGGCATTTGATCGTTACTGGTAACCTTCAATTATCCATGACTGCGTTTCATATTCTTAAAAAAAGTCATTGCTGCTTTGGCATATCAGGCCCATGGAGACTGGAGGTTGCAGAACACTGGTGAAGATGCAAGATGCAATGGGAAATATTCTCTGTGTCTCCTCTTGTGTTGCTGGGAAGTTTGATGTCCATAGTAGACGTGTGGCAATCTCAGTGGGTTCCACACTGAGTCCTGCCTCTGAAGCTCAGGCAGGAAGGCAAGAGCCTCCTGCTAATGCCTTGACCTGGAGGCTTTGCTCTGGGAAAGCTGCCTGTCCTGAGTGTCTGTCCCAGTTCTAGCTAGAGCGGTCAATGGCTGCATAAATGGGATGCACTGGGCAGGAGAGAGATGTTCACCAGTGCAATGAAAAGGCTCTAGGAGCTGCTGCTGTTGCCCTGGTTCCTGACAGTGATCTCAACAAAGGAAGAACTTGGTGAAGCAGATGGATACTCAGTCCTTCCAGGCAGCCCATTCCCTGCTGTCTTAAGCAGCCCTCAGGCTTTGGGAGCTGCTGTACCAGAGGTCTGGGCTGCTGGAGAATGTTCCCTAAGGCTGCTCTGTCATTCTGCAGGTGGGACCAGGACTGGTTTTCCTGATCTTTGAGCATGCTTTCCTGGGCCAAGGGATCATTCTGCAGACCGTGACGCCCTTGGAGCCTCTCCTGCAGAATGTTGTCCACAAAATCTACTACCAGAAGAACATGCCAGCCATAATCCCCAAGTTCATTCTGAAAGCGGAGTGCATACAGGTAAGGTTTCTGAAGAAGACCAGCCAAAGATGGGCCTTTGAAGCTCAGCAGATAGAGGTCACTGAGGAGGAAGAGCAGCTGTCTATCTGGGCTTGGATGTATGCCAGAGCAAAGTGCGGTGGGGTAGATATTTTTAATGCTCAGCACAATCTCTTAGTGTTAGTAATGCAAAGGATTAAACTGGTCGCTAACTGTCATAAGGTTGGGCAACTCTAGCCCCTCCAGAACGTTTTTCCAGCTTTAACATTACCGGTTTTAATAATATAAACATGGGCATTTGGGAGAAATGCTAAAAATAAGCGTGCAGGTAGTGTGCACAGCTTGGTTCACTTTCCTTACCTGAATGTGACCCTCCTTCATCCCTACAGTTTGAACGTGACGTAACCATCTGGAACAACAAGCAGTATCTCCCCAAGCCCCTCCTTGTTAAAGAAGACTCCACCATCCAAAAGCACAGACGTTGGTATGCTCAGTTCTACAGTGAGAGAAGCCAGAAGTTCACGGCGCCTGAGGCCCTGGACTGGTGAGGCCCTCGCTCCCTTCTGCTGAAGGTGGCCAAAAGCCATCAGATGCCTCCTGCCCATTCGAGCTGGAGAACTGCAGGGTTGTGCAGACTTGAGTGATGCGGTGAATTCAGGCCCAGGGAGGTGAGTCTGAGCCCTGGAGCTCTCCTCCACGCTCAGATCGTCAAAGGGTGTTAACACGCTCTTATATCTGCACTGTAATATGTGGAGAGAAGGTGGACAGGCCTCCCTCTAACATTGTCTTGTCTCTCACTGCTGCCATCCCTTCAAACCTTGCATGAAATCCCTTTCAGGTGGCCTTCTCTTACCCTAAGTTTCTCTTCCCAGCAAGGGCTGTTGTTGCTTCTGCACCAGTATCTTGACTGGTGCAGAGCTCAGCTCTGGAGAAGCCTGAGGCCTACAGAGCAGTCAGTGTGACTGTAAGACCTGTTGTCGTCTTTCCTTCTGGCAGCAGTCAGGGTAACCTGGGATTTGGCTGGTGACCCTGCAGGGAACACTTGCCCTTCCATATCCATGGGCTTCCTAGCTCATCCTGAGCTCTGCATGAAGGATTCCTCATGCAACTATTGCATCTCTATTGCACCTGCCAGGAAGGAAAGAGACTTTCTTGATGATAAAACAAGATCAAGCCACTTAGAGAACAGTTCTGCAGGTTGTGGATGTGAATTAGATCCTGCTTTGAAACACCATGGATTTAGTGCTACCAACTGGCTACAGACATTTTAGTTTAATGGCAAGATCACTGGTGTCATCACTAACTGTTGCTGCAATGAAAAATTAACTTCATATCTTTATGAGTAGGCTGCAAATCTGGCTAAACTGTTCAAATCCATGAGCTTTCCAAATAGGATGGGTGCTGTTGGTGCTGACAGGGCAGGACCCTGGTGCCTTTCAGATTTTGCACTTTACTGAAGCTTCGGTTTCCCAGCTCACCATTAACCCACAAAGCAGGAGCCGGGAGTGAGGAACGTGCCACCCTGGACAACAGCGTGCCAGGCCGCCCCTCGACAGCCACGCTTTGCCTTTCTTGCCAGGCTTTTGCACTGTCAGTATTTCATATTAAAGTCTTTTTTTTAAAAAAAAAAAAAGCTGATCTCATGCTTGTGGCCTGTTGTTCTTCAGTGCTTTGTGGCATGAACCTACGGGAGCATATGTACACGGATGCACTGCATTATACATGGGCTGATAAAAAGGCCACACGTGAAGAAGCGTCCTGGGAGGTCTCCTTGCATAGGAGTCTATCGCCTCTGCTGTCCTTCAGGAGTCACAGGGACTCTCTAGCAGGAGACATTAGGCAACCTGGAGCACTACCTGGCCAACAGCTTGAGCCACTGTGTCCTAAAGGCACCAGCTCGAACGTCCCTGCTCAGCCCCCCAGAGACCCCCACACTCCTGCCCAGGACCCAATGCAGTCTATCCCAGAGCCATCAATTCCTGTCCCTGGGATGTGGTGCCGGTCTCCATCTCTGCCATGTCCACACTAATCCCGACCCAGATGTGTAGGCCTGTCCTGACCTTGTCTCGTGTGGCAGGGCCCACAGCCCTCCTGTCTTTGGGCTGGCCCTGTCCGCACAGCCCTGTCCAGGCATTGCAAACAGGCTGATGCTGGTTATTCTCACTGGATCTGCTCCTGACCTGGGACTTGACATCTCAGCTTGACCTTAGAACTGCTTCACCGATTCAAACCTGTCTGATGGTCTGAATTGGCCATGATCTAAGAGCCTGCCCTGTCCATCGCACAGCTGGGAGGTGGGACAAGCTCTGTCCTGTCAGCTGGGTCTTCAGTTTGGCTCCCGTCCCTTCTTGTGCCCCTCTTTGCTGGGCATGTGGCCAACACACACTCCACAAGTTCAGAGGCTTGACCTGCACAGCCCACACGTCTCCGTCCCTCGTGCAACACATTGGGCTGTGGTCCCCATTCCTCACTGTGCTCTCACCTGGACGATCCCAAGATAACCAAAACTCCAAGGAAGACAAATTGTAGCTGACCAGATTAGAGCTGGTGAATTAAATGAGCTTCACTACCTTCCTCAGTCCCTCTGAAATTAAAGGAAACTATCGGTTATCTCCAGCAGAAACTGAATCTTGAGTTAACATCTTATATACCTTTAGTTATCTATTATCTACTACACCCATTTAGAATTCCAAACAATTCCAAACACATCAGCTTAGAACATGTGGGCATCCAATCCTACTGTTTGCTGAAATTACTCATTTGCATCAAATCTGCTGCAAAATTACACCCATTCTTAATGCTCTGTTCTGACTGCTCATCCTCACACCTGACTAACCAAGCCAATTCTGCCCCTTTGCCACAATTGTTTTTTTATCACGTCTTTGGGTTCTGTTTCTTCCCTACCCTACAAATTCAACTGCTGACTTCCTAGAAAACCCCAAAGGAAATCAAAATAGGTCAAAGAAAAGGACACATGAAGGGTGATGGAGAGGGCACCACAGATTCGACAGCAGTGGCTTGAGCTCCATCTCCTCTGAACCCTGGTTCATGCATCTCCCATTCAGGACAACTACCAAGCAATTTTCAGATCATTTAGAGGTGGGTCTCGGTGCTCTGGACAAACAGCATCAGCAGGACTCTGTGCGGTGCCCGATCTGGAGTTCTGGCAGTGCCACAGTGTTTGAGGGCCTGGAGTGTCTTCTTGACGGTTTCAAGGAGGTATTTTCCAAATAAAGTCCTTGGCAGTGCCAAGCCTCACCCTTGTCTTTGTGACCTTGTGAGACACGCTGCCATGGGTCAGGACTTGCACGGTCTCCAAGCAAAGACTTCTGTGCCCTGTGATATTTTGGCATTACCAATAGCTACTGAAGACCCTGTCCTGCGGGAGGAACGACTCAGCCTAGTGCCTGCTGAGCGCCTGGCTGCTGCTCTCCTCCCAGGGCGAAAACCAGGTGGCCGATGAACCTGCAGGCACGAGGCAGGATCTGCAGCTCTGGCACGTGGCAGCTGAGATTGCTCTGCTCCGTATCAGCCTACACTGCTTTTGCAGCATAAATGTGAGCTGGACTGAGCCCGTCCTGGCAGTGTGAACGCAGACACTGCGTTACCAGGGGCGGAACAACCACCCGCCCCACAGAGCGCCTTGGTTCTCAGAGCTCTGCTCTCTCGGTGGGCAGGTCCGAGACAGACGACGTTCTAGAAACTGGTCTAGGGAGTGTTGGGCGGCCAAGGGATGCAGGGGCAGCCCAGTGCTCAGCTTTATGGCTGATGAAGCCCCTCGAAGTGACTCCTGTTGCCCTGTGGGATTTAGCCATGGGTATTTTCCCTCGTCAGACTGAGATGCTCGGCAGCGAGTGAGGTTCCACACGTGTGCTTGGAAAATAGAAAACCCCACACACTTGTTTTTTCCTAAAGGTTGTTTTATTGTAAAACCATAAATACAACACTGACATGAAAATCCTCAAGCAACGGATGCTTTCTTACAGTTACAGTTTGTCTTCTGCCTTGGCATCAACTCTGAAAAGAATGTTGCAGAAACATGTCTCAAAGATACCTCCAAATAACTGAACTCTGGCCTGGAGCTCTCAGCTAGTTTGGAACCTAAGTGGAATTATTCCTTCTCTCTTGTGGAATATTTCCATTCAGACAGCAACAGACTTGTAAAAACAGCAACATTTAAACACCTTGATTTTTTTTTTTTTTTTAATAATCCTTTTCATTTGACGTCAGTCTAAGTTTCAAACAGCACTGAATTTAATTAGCTGTAAAAAAACAAAACAAAAACAAAACAAAAAATCCTAAAAAGAAAAAAAAAAAATCAGAAGAACTTGAGTTGGCCTCAAGCGTTCATATATCACAATGAAAATCAGCAACTCAACCCCGTGCAATATTGCTCTCTATTGAGTCATTCGATCCACACCAACAATACATGAGACTTCAAACAGGTTTTGTTTTGTTTATTAACACAGCAAGTGTGACATTAGATAACCTTTTAAATACAGTACATGGTACAGTGCGGGGCCAGCTGCCCACACATTTCCCCAATATGAAGACAAAGCCAGCGGTGGCGGTTTATAAAAATATCGTGTTGCTACAAAAGTATAAATTAATGCTACCGGTATTAAGAAATATTAAACACATAAAACTTATAAGGATTAAGAAAAATATTCATTAATACCTGTAGAAAACTCTGGCCTAAAAAAGATATTTTTTTGTATATTTTTTGTATATTTTTTTTGTATTTTTTAAGATGACATGAGATTCTTGCACTCGCAGGTAGAGACACACGCAGGTGCATCTGTGGTATTGCCTAGAACATCTGCAGCTACAGAACGTAAGGAAACGCACAAGAGTTACCGAGGGAGGGGGGCGAGGAGGGGAAGGAGAACAGCGTTTTCTTGACGAAACAACAAGAACTCAGCTCCCAACCGGAGGTCTCAAAAAAAAATGAACGTACGGACGAGGAAGAGCTTCTCTTTTCAGCCTGGCTGCAAACGGGGGCTTCCTGACGGCTGGATTTGGCGGCGTGACACTTCCTAGCTACGGAGCGGCCCGGAATGCTCCTGGCCTGGGCGACGTGTGTCCTCCGGGGCTTACAGCCTTGGCCAGGCGCCTGTCACCAATGTCTCCGTTTATCCATTACAGGTTTTGCTTTGAAATAATTAAACAAAAAAATTAAAGTCCCCCAAAGGTTAAAGGGACTTTGGAAAAACAGCTCCTAAGACTGTTGCTCCTTCCAGAACACATGCCTCCTTCCTAGAGCGGAAAGGTCCTTCTCCATAGATAGCAAGGAAAAATAAAATTAAAAAAAAAAATCCCTCCCAGCTCCCACCCTCAACATCCTGGGGAAAAAAAAATACCATCCTATCCACACGCATTGTAGAGACCACCATAAGAACTCCTAGAAGACTGAAAACGAACATTCAAGGCTGATGAGGCTGGAAGTGTCATTTTTAAGGAACTTTGGTTGCACAAAGCGAGGGTTTGACATGCCTGTACTCATCGATTCCACTGTGAAATATTCCTGTCTTAAGGCTGTGCTGCTCACTCGGGCACCAAGACACGCTGAGCGTGGTCACTGATGCTGGAGTAACGGGAAGAAAGAAAATCCTTTCAGTCAGTGGTTGACGTTGTGCACGAACGAGCCATTTATGTGGCTCATTTCAGAAGCTACTCTAAAAATTCAAACTCAGCTGCCTACAGATCATTAGCCCTAGAGGGTCTACTGGATACGCCGTTGTCTAAGTGAGCAAAACTCTGCTGTCAAGTTATAAAACAAAGGACTCTAACAGGAGTAGTAAAAACCCAACTAACCAGCCAGCCAAACAAACAAACAAATAAAAGAGAAATCCTCCAAACATTCAATATATGAAATTAAATTTTAGGGCAATACACTCTCATTGGTTTACCATTTCTGGCCTAGCATAAGCAAACTCTCCCACAGTACTAAAGAGGCATTCGAACTGGAGCTGTGCTTTTTTCATCTCCCTGTATTTCATTATTTGCCGGTTTGTTCTGTGACATGCCCACAAGCCCCAGGGAAGATGACTGCCCGTGGCACGTGGACACGTCCCATGCACCGTAAAAGGGGAGTTCTTATTGCTATAGGGCAACATCTTCAAAAGCATCTGACCAAGGACCTTAAGTTTCACCGGGTGCTTCCGGGGATGCTTCCCAAGGACTCAGCATCCCGGCTAGCACAGAAAACGCACAGCAGCAACAGCAGCAGCAAAATATTCAGCACTCTTCTCCACCCCCAGTTTCTTTCACCTTGGCAGTGCAAGGTTGGACAAGACATCTGCTCTCCGAACTGGTGTCACATCACTCCTGCCAGTCAACTAGCTCCTTCCATTGTGAAACCGGATTGAGGAACAAATCAAGTGCTAGGAAGGGTTTGGTGGTGGTGGTCAATGAGAGGATGTGGAGGAAGATGCTCTACGGACCATCCTGGACCTATCGGTTGTGGAGCAGGACTGGACTCATCCACCAGGGCAATTAAACCCTACCTCTACATCCAGTCTCTCGGTAAGCTCTGAGGCAGTGTGTTGAGCCTTACAGAGTCTGCTCCAGTTATTTGCACAGCCTGGTTTTAAATGACAGGGCTCAGAAAACATTCCCACAACAGATGATTCCTAGAACAGATTTCTCCCCAGTAAAAGATGTACCAAAATCTGTTTTTAGAGTCTTTTGTTCACTGTCATCCAATTATTCCCAAGTACTCTGTAGGGAACTCGTTCTCTCCTGTGTGTGCCGAATGCTCACAGTAGCTTCTCTCCTCCTCCTTTAGCCAGAGATTCAATTAGAGATACAGGTCCTGCCTCAATCGGAAACAGAACTACTGCTCTTTCAGCAACTTTTTGGCTGCTCTTTAACGTTCCTTTGATTTACCAGTACCTTGGTGCTTTCTAGAAATGAACCTTTCAGTACTCTCTGAGTAGCACCAGGTCTTGCTCATGCTGCTCCTGTGCAACACCACCTCCTGGCTCCCCGAGTGCAGGGTTCAGCGCGTGGAAAGGGTTCTTCACACTGGGTAAGGCCACACAGACTCCTCTGCCTCTGCAAGCACACGAAGCAGCTCCTATGCACACAAAATCTTCCACGTTATTGCAAGTAGTTAAAGAAAAAAACACAACCAATCAACCTGAGACGTCTCACTGAATACTGTAACAATGCTCAGATATCACAGCTTAGAGCTCAAGCAAAAATTTCAGAACTGTCTCTGCTCTATTTTCAGCGGCTCTTGGGCTTTGAGCATAATTGCCCAAAATTCATTTGCAAAATTCACTTAAAAGTTCCTCATTCCCTGAGCTGCTTCTGAAAGCATCCTCTGAAAACACCCAGACAGCACAGTCTAGCAAAACCAGTGCAGGTGGTTTATGTGGATGCTTATCTCAAAGGTAAATTGGTTCAACTGGTAATTAATAGACATCTGAGTTAGGCAAAGCCTAACCCATTGCAGGCTTTCAGAGAAAATTTTCTAGATTGCACTAGACATATCAAACCACATCAGTTTTCCTAGAACAGAAAATGCTTTGACAAAAAACAAGTTTGCTTCTATCTGAAACTTAACCAGTTCCAAGACACCAAGCCCATCTTGCAAGCCAGACCACTAGAGATACAGAGAGGAGACATAGGGGAAAAAAAATATGGGTTCCATGTTCTTCTCCACTAACCATCTGGGTCTCATGTTCCCACAGAGACAACCTTTGATTTTGAAGAACTCTACCTTTGTTTCCTACTTCTTGAGTTTTCTGTAACTAACAAGGATCTTCAGACAGGGCATGCCAGCCTTTCACTGTGACCAGTCCATCTTCTGCTGGTGCTTGCTCCCCATCCGAAGACTGGAACCATTCTCCAAGCAAACGGTGAACTCAGAAAAGAGGAGCCTGCAAGGTTGGCTGTGCAGCAAGCAGCAGGCAGAAAGGAATTCCTGGAGGACAGAGACATTTTATACACCCAAACACCTTTCTCAAACATCAAACAGAACAAGTGGAGGTAAATTCCCAACAGCAACTACCACAGGGAGATCCCTCTTTGAAGGACTTCTCTTCCCAGCTAAAAGGAAGCGGAATCTCACGATAACTCTTACCCTTTCCTGCCTCCAAAACAGGATGAGTAGCTCTCCTTACACGTGCTGCTCTACAGAGAGAATTTCTGCCGAGCCAAATGAAGAGTTTCTGAAATTCAGACCTTGCTACAGTATCTGCACTTCCTGAATGAAAATATGATCCCTGAAAAGGGAAGGAGAAACAAGAGCAAAAACTTTGTATGTGGAGCAGGTTCACGTGCTCCCGATGTGCTTCTGTCCTTGGAACGGACACTGAGCGTGGGGCACTCGTCATCAGACACATGTCAGCCTGTGATCTGACAGAGTACTGATAAGCACTTTTGAGCAGAATACCCTGTGACCTTAAGTAGTCTCACGAACCGCCATGTACTTTTCCATTGCCTAGACGGAGAAGGGGCTGGCCAGCCAGCTTTTCTTCTCACTGTTTTTCCAGGATACACAATTTTAGAGGTTTAGGTTTTGTTCTGCTTTTCAGCTGCTAAGTTGAGTTTCTAAGTCTTTGGGAGAATTGTGCCTAACAGATATTGCTACGTATTTGCTTGATATCCACCTTGGTGCTAGCACAACCAGAACCAATGCTGCCTTGGAGGTGGCAGTAACTCGGATGGGGGAGAGGGCCAGTCAGACCCTCTCTTTGCTCATCACAGCAAGAAAGCTCCAGATCTGACGCCGAGACCATGTGGTAAGCTAGGAAAGAGACATGACTGAAGTTAAGGGTGGTGGCAGCCTCCGTTTGTATGCTTCGGTTGTGCAGCCAAGGTCCAACTCACTGCTGTGTACAACCTGGCATTAAATGGTTGTACAAACCACTGCAGTCTGACCTCACCCTTAATTCTAGCACTTAAAAGCTGTGCTAGCTCTAACTGTCCACTTCCCTATCCTTCATGCCTTGCAGATATGGGCATGATGATAAGCTTTGGAGCTTTCTTTACAAAGGAATGCAAAGGTGTCCTGCCAGACTGACAAGGAGCTTGTGAGTGGCTCTTTGAGTCTCAGGCTAGCCTGGTAAAAGCATGTAACATGTCATTAGAAGAAAGCTACAGATCCTGTCCCCACCTCTGCCTATCTTCTGGGCAGCACAGCACACGTTCCACAGCCTCAAAAGCTATTCTTGCTTTGGATTTCTCCTTCAGTGAAGTTTTCTTGCTGCAGCATCCCTTGCTTTCTACTCAGTGGGACCTACAGCATAGCACAAATGTTTTAAAATGAGCTAAACTCTCGCCTGATATTTTTTCTTCCTCTCTGTAGTCTGAGAATTTCTGTTGCTACAAGTTTCTCCCACCCTGCAAGTGCCAAGAGACGTGTTACCCGTGTGTCCAGCTGTGCTTGCCAAGCAGGTAGCGTTTGTATGGGAGAAAATAAAACCAGCAAGAAGGGATGGCTCTACACCAAACAGGCCTGTTTGTGAAAGCCACTAGCAGAGAAATCAGACCTACACGTGACCCCCGTCCCCGCTGGCAGCTCATCCTCAGGTTCTGTTACTCCTGCAGTTGGCAGCAGGCTGGTGCGACTGTCTTTTAGAAATGGGTTAGGATGTCTACCCCCCCAAAAGGGGAATACAGGAGACCACTGGTTTTGCCCTGATGCCACTACCAGGGCTGAGAGGTGCTGCCAACCCAGCATGTGGACTCTGGCTAACAGTAGTTCTGGCCTCCCAGGCCAAAAAGGGCAAGAGTCATCTGGAGAAGACAACTGGCTGTGAAGAGCTAATCCTCACTGACCTCTGTCTAGCGAAGATCTCCAGGATCTTGTTCTTGTTTGAGCTATCAGGGCCTTTGAGGACCAAGGCACCTGAACACAAAGCCTGAGACTACCGGGTGGGTAGGGCTGCGAGCTGGCTGACCACGTTTGCCATTTCTCCTGTCTCGAGACTTGGAGCTTCTATTGCAACCAGAAACGGGCTGGTGGGACCTTGGTTTAATGTCTGTTCAACAGCAGCACTCTGCAGAAGGCCCCCAGTCTCACTACTGCGTTGTCAGCAATCAGAAAACACCCCTGCTCTGTTCAGGGCTTCAGTCTCCCTGGAGAGAGCCGAGCGTGCTGCTGTCCAGTTCATCCTCCTGAACCTCCAGCGTGGCTCTGCTGCCTCTGCGACTGCAACTTCAGAGCAAACTATTGGAAGAAGGAGAGATTACTTCAAAAATAATAATTTGCCTCAATTTGCCTCTGGGATACAAATCCCAGCGATGAAGAAAACAACAGTTTGGCACCAGAAGTTGGGAATCGTCCAAGAGGCACCAAATCTGAGAGCCTGCAGAAACCTGGCCCAGCAGCCCCCTGAAGTGTGCCCACGGGCAGCGGGCACACCTGGGCGCTGGCCCTGGCTGGCAGCAGAGCAACTGAGATGTTTTTGCTTTATGAGGATCTCTAATTGCATTTGGGGTGAGCCAGTACATGCGAATGTTGACGGGCCTGTGGCCTTCCTAGCCAGAACGATTCAACAACATAACAAGTAGTGTAATGCACTATAGGTATTAAAAAGACATTCGTGCTACTAGAGGAAACCATTCCAAATAAAATGGGAAAATACTCTTTGCACTCAATTGGGAGCACTTACATTCAAAAGGATCTTTGAGCTGATGCACTTCTCTTAAGCTTCCTTCAAACCCCAGTTTCACAAAGCTGATGATCTTTGTTCCCCTGAAAAATCATACACCTTGGTTTGTCCTTGGCCATGTGAAGGCTGTTTCGAGTGTGTGTACAGGGAAGGCTACCAAAAATTTTAGGCACAAGGGTTCTCAGCAGCAGCTGTCAGACGCCAGCACGCTCGCTGACGGCCTGCAGACACCAGTATTGCCACTGTTGCTCGCTTTGCCTGGTTTGCAGCTCTTCCACACAAGCAACTGCTGCGGTTCCCCAAAAGATGGTATTTAATCATAAAAGGGCTACTCTACGAACAAGCTTGAGAACCCCTGTTGTGCAGAATTCACAGACAAGCTAATTCACACTGGGAATTTAGAAAAGAAGTTATGCTAAAAAATTCCAAGAAATGTAGCAGATGTTTTCTGCCATGAATCATTTCATGTAATTTTAAATCAAACTTGTAATCACTCCAGCTAGCATGTTAAACTCAAAACTGGGAGTGGAGACAGAAGAGTGACTTCTCTTGTCTGGAAAATCCTTAAATGAAAAAGCTGAGAATTAAAATAAAATAAAATAAATCCTTGAAGTCTCCCTTCCTGATTTCTAAAGATACTGGTGTTCATAAAACACAGCTGCCCTGATAACATGCACTGTATGTCAAGAAGGCTGAAGACAAATGCCCTCAAGGTGTACAGTTATTCAAAGGAGCAAAGTCCAGTGCAGAACTGGTCTGTTCAATGTAGTCTGATTATCCATGGCAAGATGGCCCAGGGAACAAGAGGAAAAAGGTGGGGTGGAGGAGAAACAAAAGAAACTTCAAGTCACTTTAGATCTCAGCTGCCTGAAGACTTTAGAACATCAGCCTCCCATTGGTCTGCCCACTTGAAAACATTAGAAAGTCTGTCAAGTCCACACACTATCTATGGAAAGGAGCACGTTCCTGGCAGAGGGCTGTCTCTCTCACGTGCTCAGCTTTCCTTTCAAACTTAATTTTATATATATTTATATTTTTTTATATATATAAAAAAGCACTTGGTTTCCAGGGGCATTCATAATGAGGTCCACAGTGTTTAGAACTTAAAATTCTTTTTCTTTGTTTGGAACAGTGTTTTAAAGTTTTGTTTTAATTAAAAGACAGTCTTAAAGCATGTTGGACTTCAAAAACATGAGTTTGTTCATGTCTTCTGGACTGAGTAGCCGTCTCCTTTTGATTAAGAGAGCCTGCTCACACATATTTACACATTCACTTCTGGCACCAACAGCAGGCACTGCTAAGAGCCAAAAGGCTAGCTTGGCTAGTTTTGTATGCTTTTGGGTAACACACGACCAGTACTGAAACAGGTCAGGGGTGGTCTGGAAGAGAGGTTCTTGCAAATAATCATAGACTTCATTTTTCCCAAACCAATCCTCTTCCTGAGCTGCTGTGGCTTCCCCTGCTGCCCGCGCTTTCTTGGTTGAAGGTTCAAATTCTGTTTCTTCTGCCCAGGACTCTTTCACCTCATTGATCAACTCACAGACCTTGCCAATTATCTCTTCATGCTGGTACGGTGGGACGGGCCGCAGCTTCTGCTGGGGGTCTAAGATCATGGCTACCTTGTGGGCTGAGTGAACTTTGAAGTTCTCCTTCAGCGCTTCCAAGAAGAGGTGGCAGAGTTTGCTGACTACGCCAGCGTCATTGGCTTTGGAAGTGAACAGTTTCTCCAGTTTGACGTAGGTGGGCAGGACCAGCTGCAAGGTGGGCCGGCTCTCGTTGCTCAATTCAATCACTGCCTGCTTCACCGGAGCCAAAATGGCTGCAAGGTTGCTGAGCAGGTGCTTGTTCAGGTTTTGGATGAGATTCATCTTCTTGGCCCTGCTGTAAAACTCACAGATCTGCTCGTAGCGCTCATGGACGAGCAAGAGGGAGTCGGTCACTGAGTTCCAGCAGGGTGGGGGTGAGGTCTCTTCCAGGGAGCCAAAGGTCTCCTTCGAGAGGCCCGTGGATCCTGCCAAGTCTTCACAGACATTCAGGAGCTCGATCACTTCGTGCATATTGCGAGCCTGTAGTGTTCGCTTATTCAGCACACTCTGCACTACCGAGTTCAAGGCACAGGCCGAACACCGCAAGCACATGCCAGCCTTGGAGAACGCAGAGGAATTGACTTTGCAGTCTGTGACGTACACCGTCCTGATCTCCGACATCACAAACTCTGAGAGCACGTTCTGAACCCAGTGGTGGATAAAATCACCGTTATCTCGCATGTCCACACCTTTAATTCCCAGCACGTAGCTCTTGATGTGGTTGCCTTCCACCTGATAAGCTGTCAAGATGTAGCAGGAATCGGGACCGATGCTCTGCGAGTGGCAAGTGACACCTATGCCAAGGCAGGCGTTGCTGCCCAGGGCGCAGGTGACTTTCACCTTCACCTGGTTGTACATCCGCGGCAGGTGCTTCAGAGCCAGCGTGTTGAAATTGCCCAGGATCTCGGTGACTGAGAAGGCCCCGTAGCGAGCTCCGCTGTCCACCAGGGTCTGGGCTAGCTTGATGAACTCCTTGCCGCTCACCACGCTCAGCGCCCCCAGGTCGGTGCACATCACCCTCAGGAGCCTCTCGGCAATGTTCTGCCGCTCCTTCTCCGGGATCGCGCTGTTGCCCACCGAACCACTCGCGGATGCTGCAGCAAAAGACAAGGAGGGAGAGAAAGCACCAGGTGAGAATTGCTCCTCTGCACCAGGAGGAAGCAGGGAGCAAGTCACACAATTCTGAGACGGACCTCAGGAGATCCAGTGGTCTACACCACCCGGCAGGCAGAACATGCCCAGATGATGAAAGAGGCAATTCCAACCTGGACTTCTTTCCTAAAGTGTTTCTGGATGGAGGCACTTTCAGGGATAGGTTTTGTCCTTGCTTAGAGGACAAGGAACTTATTTGTATGCTTCTCCTGGCACGGGAACTGAAACAGAGCTCACACCTATTCAGAATTCAGCGCCTCGCCAGCAGCATCTTTGTGTTGTTCATTTAGGAACTGCCTAGGTAAGCTCAACACATGTGAGCTGCTTGCTAATCATGCCTGCTGTAGTCACAGTTCTACTCATGTACCCAGCCCAGCTGGAAGGCTGAACTCCCTCCTGCTTTTTCTAAGTTAGGCCTTGGTTTTGACCAGTTCTTTTTGCAGGAGTTGATTCCTCCACCAACTTGAATGGTGTTCAAGCACTACTTCCAAAGTCTTCCTCTGTCAACCAATGATCTCAGTTTTTGTCACTGATTTGAATGAATGAATATCATTTTTGGTCACACAAAACACCATGTTTTCTTATCACCTTTCTCCCCTGCTGGCTGCTTAGCTCCAGGCTTAGGAACTGCCTTCGCTTGGGTCTCTATTTTAATATTATCTGTGTGGAAACCTAAGTTCAGGGGAGAAGCTGGGGATAAAGCCACACATTGCCTGCCAGGCCATGAAGCAGCACGTTGTGCCTATATCACACAGTGCTAAATGGAGTCATTTCTTAACTCCAGGCTGATCTTAAATCAGAAGTCGGCTTTAACCAGGGGTTCCCAGCATTTCTGTAAGAGGAATAGGTGTTCTGCTTTGCAGGGCACCAAATGGACTAGAGATACGGGACCATATGGACTAGAGAAACCAAGTCAGGTTTCATCAGTCAGGTGAAGACACTATACAATGCCCGAGTCACTGCTTCAAGGCTGACAGGTAAGCCCGGAACAGAAGAGCAAACAGCATTACATACTATTATTGGCGTTGTTTCTTTGGAGCTGTGGTTTCCACTTTTCTTCAACAACAGCTAGAGGTGATCTGGGCTGGCTAGAGGCAATATTGTTTTCATTGTCAGCTGTGGGACAAGAGACAGGGACGTGTTAGAAGCACAAGATACTAATGCTTAAAGCACAAAGAAGGGGAAACAATATCCATCAGCTTAGCATTTACACTCATTTCCCTTCACGATATCAATCTACTCTGCTCTCTTAAGTTGTGAAGTAGTTTCAGTGAGATAACACAACACAATTAGAACCTTGAAAACCCCCTCGCCTCCCAAAGTGCACCTCAACTGACAGAGACTTTTTTCAGGCATCAGTGTCACTGATCACGAGGAGGAATAAATCACAATGTTGCTTCTGCAGCCTGTCTTGTGCCATTTGCTGGCTTCAGAAATGAAAGCAAATGCAACACTTCCATCCTTCTGTTTTTGCCCTCCTGACTCTCTGCACCGCAGCTGAATTCCCTTTTCTTCAGTGCAACTACTTCAGTTTCTAAGCTGGATTTAGCCCCCTCAAAAACTTCCCACTGTGGTGAGAGGTCCCGTCCCCTCTCAGCTTGTCCACTTCCGCCTCAGACTGGAAACAAACAAACAAAAAAAACATTTTTAGGGGAAACGAATCCAAACCTGTTCCTCCTTAAGGCTGCAAACATAGCAACTCCCTTGCTGGTCTTTGTGTTCGTGCTCCACATTCCTTGTATGTGGTGGCTAAGCACTTTGTCTGCCAGCCTTACGGGATTTTTCAGGTCAAGATCAGTAGGTTTTTTGTTTTATTCACATCTTTTCTTCGTCTGGTCCCAAGAGCTTTGCCCCCACCCTGGTGAAGTTTGCCAGTTCTGAGCATGCTTCACTACAAGATGAAATAGGCTAAGAAATAGGCTGGGAAGCAACAATAAAGTGTACAATGAAGAGAGATGGAAGAAGGAGAAATAATAAGAGATGACAAGGCTGAGCAGAGGGATGAAATTAAAAACAAGGAAGACAAAACAATTTCTTCACAGCTGGGCTCATCTCACCTAATTTTGGACATCTCCGTAGGAGGCACCTCTCCTCAAGATGGTCCCTTGTGACTCCTTTTACACTCAGTGGTGCCAAACAGAGCGTGAGTCTTTCATCTAGCCCCTCATACTCTGAACTCACCTGGAAACAGTGATCTCCTCTCCATTGATTAAGAAGGGAGTCCAAAGTGACTAGCTCAGGTGGCAACATCTACAGTCAACATTCAGTCAAATGAATCCTGCCCTGGCACTCAAGGGGGCAGAGCAGTGGGCATTAGGATGAGCAGGAGAGGGCAAAGTCACTTCTCTTTGCCCATGGCAATTACCAGGGAGAGACCGGCAAGAGTCCAGGGACAAGCAATGACATGAAGAAACTTCATTGCTCTCTTCCACACAAACAAGTCCTCTCAAACGTCAGCTGCTCTCCATTCTAGCTGTTGGGATGTTCTCAAATCCAGCTGAAGAACAGTGGCAAATCAAGACCAGAAACACAGGAAAACACAGAGCCAGAGGCCAACCAGGGAAGATCCTGGCACTGCCCAGAGGACTGAACGTGCCCAGGCAACCCAGGGTACAGGGAGGTGGTGGTTGTTTGGGGAGGACTACCATGCTCAGGACTGCAGTCAGTGTGGGGTTTGAAAGGAAAGGGACCAGCTCCAGTGCATGACAGCAAATACAGCACATCTGTTTTCCCCCAGCATTTGCTCTACAGCTTATGCCACAAGTGGCCTCAACTCCAACATCTGCAGGCAGGCAAAGCAGCAAGCTGCCCACTACATCTGTTCACTTACAGCAGTTCACTTAGGTTCAGGCCTAACAACATGAAGGCTTCCTTATCTTGGTAGGGGGGAACGGTGGGAGACACCCTCAGTTTTTCCTCCCCCCCAACACTTTATCTGTTTCACAATAATAGGGGATTAACTACGTGCAAATATCTGTTAGCATTCTATATGGCATTAATGACATTTGTGTACTTCAGTCTTATCAGGCAGCCTGTGAACTATACAGTTCCGAGAACTATACAGGCGTCTTTAATTTCTCTTCATGCCTCCAGTCCTTTAATCCAGGCTCATCCTTAGTTGTCCTTCTATTCTTTTAGCTCTGGCTTGCAGGCAAGGCACTATATGGTAGCATTCGACCTGAACAAAGTACCTTAAAGGGAGTTGAAGTTGTATACTGTACAGCATAATTACAGAACAAATTCTTTTGCTTTGTATTCTGATGTTCTATTTCTGCCTTTCAGCTTCCAATTTACATTCTAATTGCTTCTTCTCATTGTGTAGCTGCTTTATGGAGCTATAATTTCCCCTTATTATCTTTCAGCCTCCAGATTTAGCCCTCTGTGTGACAAAAGTGCCAGTACGTCCCTGCTCTTGCTCCTGCAAGCCAGCAGGGCATTCCCTGCCCTTAGTCACTTCTGAGAAGGGCTCAGTCCAATATTACTTTCAGCTGGCAAACATGAACCATTTGCCCCAACTATGCTTGAGCCGAACTGGGTTTCTGAACGCAGTAGCTGAGAGGTGTGAGACATTTCCTGAGTGTGGGCAAATGTCCTTGTGCAAACGCTGCTGCGCCGGCGGGGAGCCCTGCCCCGGCTCTGCTGAGCTCCTGTCCCGCAGACCAGAGCGGCGCTGCGCTGATGCTCAACACCGACTTCTTGGATAGCCAAATCCCCAAGTGCTACCAGGCTAAAAGGTTGCTTAATCAGGCTGCTTTGATCAAGCATGATTTCCAGAACCAGACACCCACCAAAGCTGTCTGCGGTTCTTCTGCCTCATGGTTGTGTCTTTCCCTCACCCAACAAGACCTGGAAAATAAATATGGCAGAGCTCACATGGAGCAACCTGGATTTTGGGGAAAATTGGCATTTCGCTTGGACCAAGAGGCCTGAGCACAGCATACAGGCAAGCACCCCGCACAGGAAAGGAGAGGCTGCTTATCCACCTGGGTTGCTTTGGCTCATGGGCTGGAGACCTTCAAGGAAGATACGGACGTGTTCATTGTCATTGTACCAGTGAGACACTGAGGGAAGCAGCTCAGGAGAACACAGTGATTCACCAACAGAGCAGGGAGAGGTGAGAAGATACAGCTCAAGCAGAATAACCCTGGGCAGGGGAGACGGGATGACTCCGTGATTTACGTGCATGTCTGCTAATGCTACCCACGACACATACCTGCTTCCTCCAGACCTGCTCCTTGTCCTTGGTGTAACCGAGGCGAACGGGCCTGGAGGCCCTGGGTCACTTGTAAAGCAGAGAAGGAGGAAGCTGCAGTCAGCAGCAGCCTACACTTCTCAGCAGCTCACAGCCTGCCACTGAACTGCCTTTGACACCCTTGGCTTTGGTTCCATCTTTACAGCTCCTCTTCTCAACAACGTCACTGAAGAGCAGAAACTAAAAACGTTGCATTTCTTTACTGGAAGCCAGAATAAGGGACGGGGGGCCATGACACAGCTGGGCGGCACGCAGAGGCTGCCTCCAACAGAAGGCAGGGCCAGACCCGCGAGCACAGGCTCGTGCCGCCGCCGTCCTGGCGCGAACTTCATTGCTCCTCCATGTGCATAAAGTCAATTTATTCCACGTTAACCAGCTTACACTCTAATATAATGTAAAGTCCCCAAAGATCAGCCCACAGTGTTTTATAACAAACCCTTCTAAGTGTCCATCCCTAATATTAGGAAGATGACAAATAAAGCAGCTGCCTAATGAGACATGAAACTTGCGCTGTGACCAATGAGGACTCCACTCGAGGAACCATCTTTGCAGAAGAAGAACTCGAGCAACACTTTCATAAAAACTAGGACTAAAAATAGAGCAGGAAACAAAACATGAACTGCTATTAATTCACTATCACGGAACTGAAAATACGCTTTTTCTGGAGCCACTTGTCCTTCCTTGCCACATTACTCAGGGCCTACTGATAAAGTGAATGTAAATGCAAGCACTGAATACACCCCTTAGCAGAGCCTCTGTCTGTTGTGGAATACCAGCCTGTCAAAGCTGAAATAATTTCTAAATCTGCCTCAATTTACTTTAGTTGTCATTCAAGAGAAAAAAACAGATAATTCTATTAAAATGCCAAAGAGCCTGTTTTGACATTTTTGAATATTCTGAATGCTGAGTTTGAAACAGCTTTTGTTTTGAAATCTAAAAATCTTCTCTTATATATTCAGATAGAAAACAAGAGATGGATTAGGAACAAAATAATTGTTATTCCTCAGAGTACTATTTTGTGGAGTGATTAGAATGAAAGGAACACAACTGCGGAAATTGCACCCATTTTTTTTTCAAGAACACTTCAATCCTTTGCAGATCTTGAAGAAACACAAGCACAAGAGGAGACTTGTGTGGGCAAAGGCTCTGCTGCCCTGCAAGGCTGTTTTGCTCTCTTTGCCTCTATGAGAACTATCCTTTCTGCAGGGGGAGGGATAGTATTTGCTGTCAAAGTGAGTGATCCATGAATACTTATGAAAGGAGTGGTACCTTGGGCCAAAGGGTAGTTTGACGTGCTCCATGCTAGCGTGGCACATGTTTTTCTGCTCTTTCTATGCAAAGGAATAAAATATATGGCACACTCTGAGCCTTGCACCACCGCAGCCACTGCAGTGCTCCAGTGCTCCAGGCTTTGAGCATCTTTCCTCCTTTTTTCCTGCAGGTGAAATTACTGGGGCTTGGGGAAACCGTGAGCACGGGAAGCTCTATTGACACACAACGGGGTCAACGTCAGGCAGCAGCGCAGAATTTAATTCTCCGCTCTAAGCGAGTCCAAGTGCCCAGCTTACCTGCGTGGGACTGCATGTGCTCCAGGAGATTGTTATAAAACTGGAACTGGATTCCACAAGCTCCACAGGTGTAAGGTTCTGTTTGGGAGAAATCAGTTCAGAAGAATTACACAGAGTATGCAGGGAAGCAGCACATGTGCAGACCTGAGTTTGTACAGCAGCTGTGCGGTGTGTCAGGGCCGGGCCATGGCACCTTGGCCAACGTGGGCACTTTGCAGCGTGTTCTTAGAGCCCTGCTGGGGTTCAGGCTGGGCCCGGGGAGGTGCTGGGGCTCGTGTCGCTCCCTGAGCTCGGTCAGGCACGTAGGCACGTGCTTCACGTGGCTCCCCTGAGCGGGTCTTAGATGCCCACACGCTAAGGTGAAGCACCTGCAGGTGCATCTCTACGAGTGGGACTGCAGTCAACTCCCGACTCGAGAGGCCACGAGCTGAGCAGCGGCAGGGTGTGCTGGCCCTGCCTGCTGCAGGTGCTTTAAGCACATTCCTGTTCTCTTTAAGCCTCAACACAAAGTAACGGGAGTTCATTTTATATCCAGTTCTGTCAAGTCTCAGCCTCTGGTGTAAGACAGGGAGCACCGGGCTGTGAAAAGCCCTTTCGCTTGGAAAGCAGGAGAAAGCAGGAGAAAGCACACAAAGATGTGTCCTGTGGGGAGGTCGGTGACCTTTCTGTGGCTGTCACCGAGTGCTGGGGCAGGTGAGCGCTGCTGGGCTTGGCATTAGCAGCTTTCCTGGGTAAGCAAAGAAGCACAGAAACCAGAGCTGTGCCACGGGGCCAAGAGCAGAGCAGGAGAGCCGCGTTGCCAGAGCCGAACAGACGAGCGGCAGCCATGGAAGGGCTGCTGTACGACTCCCGTGGAAGCCGCACGACACGCTTAGATCTCGTGTGCTGAGTAGACTGAAAAACCTTTTCTTTTTTTTTTTTGTTCTCCCACTATCGACCTCATAGTTTGTGTCTGCTCGGTTTGAACGGCCGGAGCCGAGGGTTTTGGCTGGCACCAGATGCTGTGCAGGGACACCTGGACACTGGAGCCTCCTCCGTTCCCTGCAGGGATGCCAGCACGCTGCCACCGCGTGTGGGTGCCCCCGGCTTTGCAGGAGCGCAGGGGACAAAGGTGGGCATACGGCACATAAGCCATTTTACACGGAAAGGCCCAGCACACACAGAGCAATTCTTGATGCTACAGTATACCAGAAATCTGTATTTATGTTTTAAGGGGAAAAGTGTAAATTCTGTATCAAAGAAACATACGAAATCTATTGTTCATATGCAAAAGTGCAAGTACCCAGCGTGCAAGAGCCAAAACACAGGAAAGCACAAGCCTGACTGCTGTAACCTATGAGATGTCAGCAGCAGCAAGCAAAGAGCAGAATTTATCAGATGGCCACAGGAAATTGAGGGGAAAAACATAAATAGCGCTAGAATAGCCCCCCTAAGATGTACTTATATACCATAAGGTCAGACACTTTGCTGTGACTTTCCCCTAAAATCTACAGCTCTTGGAAATGATGACCCCAATTCCAACCGAAGGGGCTCTGTTCAATGCTTTAATTAACTTAAATTACTCTCTCGTGAGGCTACTGTTACATGTTGGTTCTGGTGACGAAAACTGGAAATGCCGTAATAGGGAACTGAGGCCCTAGAGAAAAGCAAGAGATTTGGTGGCTGCAGGGATTTCAGGAGGGGAGGGATGAGCATCTGGACTGGTTATTTTTGTTGAAATCATCAGTAGGGAAAAAGTGGTGGTAAAATGCTGTAAGAGACAAGATTCCTGCTCTGTTCAGAGCAAGACTGAATACAGTTGTTATTTTATTGTTTAGACTCCTTCTGTAATTACCGGAAAGGAACAGACCCCAAAGAGGTGGAAATCACCACTTTTAGCAAGTATTTCACTACAGCAAGTGTTACAGACACACTCATTTCTCACTGCTGTTATACGAAGGGAGTCTAGACTGCTCATTTGGATGAAGAGGGCTCAAACCAAGTGAGATAAAACCCGTTCAGTGTCAAAATGAGCCTTTGATTCATGGACCCTGAGGAAGGCCCCTCCAAAGAGCTGCCGAAGCCTGACATGCCCGGTGCTCGCAGCCAGGGCTGTTTCGGGGTACCAGTCCCTGCAGTGCCCATGGGCAGCCCGGCTCCCTGGGCACCTCCAGCTCCCAGTGTGCCATTTAACGCCAACGGGGGCACAGCAGGAAGGACCCAGCACTGTATCCTTCACTGCTAGTGTCCAAGGATGCTCCTCTCTCCTCCCAGACACGCACACAAGCCCCGTGATTCTCCTAAACACACATTTCCAAGAAGCCACCCGCACAACCCTCATCCAGCCACACTTAGAGGACATTCCTCCGGGAAGTGCAATCACTCACACACATCCAACAGTCTCCACGTGGTGTTTTTCTCACATTTATAGTAAAACAGAAGAGGAAAAAATGTCCTCGCTGTTCCCTCTGAGTACATTCTGTCTCACCGAGCTGCTTCATCCTCCTCCAGTTTTCTTTGCAGCTATTCTGCTGTCATAAAGCCCTCCCTCCTTCCTTTGAGCCTCTCTCCTTGCCTGTCTCCCCTGCACTCCTTTTCATCCATCTCTGCAGGGCTCTCTGCATCTCCATCCATCACGTTGGGACCACCATGGCTTCCACAGCCCTTTGCCTCTATGAAACTCTTCCCTGTGCCGCTATGACATCCCGTGTGTGCTCCCGTAGAAGGTCTCTTATGAGGAGTCTTTTCAGAAGAAGCCTGTGAATTTTCAACCTATTTCTGAAAGTTCCTCTTCTGCTTGGCTATGGAAACATGCAAAAAATCTCAAGCGAAAAGTGCACTTGAAAGCTAATTTCTCATTCCAAAGAAGCTTCAACATTTCCTAAATATTTGCTCCCAATATTTCCACGACAAATATTCAAAGTCTATGGTTTGCCACAAAAATAAAATAAGTTAGGTTAAAATCAGGGTAATATTTAAATTCATCAAACAAATCAAAAGCAATGCTTGGGGCAGAGTCTTTTTGAGAATGAACTAACTTTATTCCCCATGGCTTTCTTGACCCTCACACCTTTCAGATTCCAACCTCTACTCCCTCATGCTCCCCACTGCAGAGAGCTAGGAATAGTTAGGCCAAGTTGGAAAGGGAGGCAGCCAGAGCTAGAAGGAGGAGGAAGATGGGTCTGGAAGGTGGAGAGGAAGAAGGGGAGCTCTGCATTGGAAGTCAGGCACAACTGGAGGAGAACTGCTCCATGAGGCTTGCACCCCCAGCAAGCAAATCCTCCCTCCATTCGATTTCTGCTTGTGACTCACAGGTGGAAGTAACCGGAAACCTCTTTGACAAGAAATGTTCTCAAAACTTCTCCCCCTTGGAGCGTAGCCCCTTCCGTGCGCTGCGGGGCCTCTGCTCTCCTCTCCTCCCGAGGGACTCGCAGCTCTCCTCCTCCTCGCTCTGCCTCAGTTTTACAGCATCCCAAGGTCCGTTCTCCAGCAAGTGGTTTGAACTCAGCCAGGTGCCCACAGATTCCCCCCCAGGGCAGCAGTCCAGGCTCAGCCTGCTTAAGACCAACGCGCTCTCTGGAGAGATTTAAGCCAATCTCTCTCCTAGGCAACGGAATAAAATGCTTGGGCAAAAAAGGGTGTTTTGAGGCGCAGGCAACGTGTGCACATGCTGCCCTGCTTGTAGGGCGCCCTGACGCCGTCCTGGGCAGCGCTGAGCCCAGCTTGCGCAGAGCAGCGCTCCTCCTCCTCCTGCTCCTGCTCCTCCTCCTCTTCCTCCTCCTCCTCCTCCTCCTCCTCCTCCTCCTCCTCGCAGGACGTTTCTTTTCAATGTGCCATGGCTTTTCTGATCTGCTCGTTCGTGGGCTTCTCCTGCCCCACCATTGCTCTTACAATAAATGTTAGTTAAAACATATGAGGGAAGAAATGTCAGTTCTCCAATTGCAGCAGTAGAGCTGTAATCAGTTCTCTCCTCTGTAATAACCCTTCAAATTGGCTAAGTTAAGCATTCACATCTCCATCTGAGAGGGCCACGCGCTGTGGCAGAAACAACAGCCTCCCCTTTGAACGGGAGATGAAAGGGCAGCCACTGCCCTGATGTGCTCAGACAGGCTCCTGGATCCATCCTGGAGCCAGGGGCCTTTTACCCACGCCAGGTGCTGCCACCCTCCCAGCCGGGTCCCTTGGCACGAGCCCGGGGTGTTCCTCCTCCTCCTGCAGTTCCCCGCTGCCCGCTCCATTCCCATTCCCACAGGCAGCGGGCAGCTTCTGTAAGCATGTGCTGCCAGCTGTGCTCCAGCTGTGCCCTCGCCTTGCCCAGCAGACAGGCTGCGGCACAGTGCTAAGAACAGCCCCCAGGAGCTGCCCCGGGCTCCTCTAGGGTGCTGGGTGACACCGAGGGCACACAGCACCCAGGGCACGCAGGCACCCAGGGGAACAAGCTCTGGCCACCTCCCCAGCAGCGCCGGGCAGCCTCCCCTCTCCGCCTCCCAAACTGTGCGTGCCGGGAGGGCAGAGCGGGATGGCAGAGCGGGAGGATACACCAGGACGGCACCAGCCTGGGCCCAAGGGGCTTGTCCCGCAAAGGGAGTTCAGGAAACCCTACCCGGAAAGGCTGCGCCTGAGCCGCCCCTCCGCACCCGGCCCCAATCCCAGCTGCACCGTAACTCGCAGCATCCTCACGGGGCTGCTGCACTCAGACCTGACTACCGTCATCGGTGCTAGGGCTAAAAAAACAATGAAAATTCCCCCAAAAGCTGGAGCTGGGCAGGACCTGCCAGCCCCCAGCCAGGGAGCTCCAGGTGAGAGGGTGGCAGCCGCGACTCGGCACAGCCACAGGTCTGTGTCCCCCTGCCCTGCTCTCGGGGGGTGTTGCTCATCTCTGAGGTGCTGCAATGACACCCAGTCCCTAGCACGGCATTCCAGCACAGCTCGGGATGGTGCAGAGCACGAGACCGCAGGGCTGCCCACGCTCCCACGGACACCTCTGCGGGCACCGGGCATCTCCTGCCCTCCGTGCTCTGCCCGTCCTCACATTAGCAGGAAACACTTGCAGAAGCACAAGGGAAATAGGCTCCGAGTGTTCACAAAAGAGTAGGCAG